TAATAATGATTTCCCGGGAAACATTTTAAAGAACAGGCTGAAGATCCTACCTCATGTTGTGAGCTGAATAGCCACGAGGAAGGGATGTTTGCAAAGAAATCATTGAAACAATTATATGGCTTTGTTCATTTTTGCCAAGGAGTGTCTTACTTCCTTCAGGTGCTCTGTCGGAAGAAAGGCCCTACCTGGATCCTGGATCACTAAAGAGCGATTCCAGAGACCTACTTTTGCTACTCCCAAGTTAAGACAGATCCTTCACCCTCGTATTTTTATGCTTCTATTTTTGTGAGTTCTGCTTAATCTTGTGCTGTTGGGCTTAAGAAAATGTGCTTCATTTAGCTTCAGCATCTGGCTCTTTATTCTTTTTACAATGAAATATATGCTGTTTTAACAACAGATTTGGCTTATTGGTAGTTTTCGTAATTTGGGTGTGGTTAGCTAGCATGGAAAAGAGAGCCTGATGGTATTTTGGACTAACAGCCACAGAGAAATTCTTTCCAAACGTCCAGAATACTGGCAGTAAATGGGACTTTAAATGTTGGCAATTCCATATTTCAAGAGTGTTTGTAAATTCCAATGGCAGTTCCATTTGAACATGCCATCGTTTGCATTATCAGACACTCCCCGAAAGTCAAGAAAAGAAACACTGCCTTGCACAAAAGTATTTTCCATTCAAAAGTAAAACCAAGAAGAATAGGCATTGTTTGATTCCCTATTTCATCAAGATGTTTAATGCATATAATTAGCTCAGCTTTTGCCTAGTTCCTTTTGTTTCCCCGTTCAGTCATCATCGCCTAACTAACCCATCCTTTCTCTGTCTACAGGACAAACCAAAACAAAGATTCACCTAATTGCTCTTTCTTTTTCTTTTTCTTTTGAAGGCAATAACTAGAGCAAGGTCAAGACAGGCTTTGCCTTCTGGTAGGGGAAAGTGGCAGTCTGTGGTTTGTTTTAGCACAGCCTCTTCCATTCACATTTCTCTCTCCCACTCATTAGTTTGTTGTGGTTGGAGCTAGTAATAGCTGTTTTGTACTAAGGAGAGGCAGGGGAGGAGGGGAGCGTGGAGATAGCAGCTTCCCTGTTTTCTTGAAAATATGATTTTTCCCCCCTCTCCCTTCTTCCCTTGATTCTCATCAGTTTATCTGTCAGCTATTAAAAAGCTAAGCAACAGGGAGTGATCCCCCCACCTTTCCATCCCAAGTCTGATTTTGCTAATAGGAAGCAAGAGTTTAATCTGTCAGAAAGGGTCTCTCTCTTGCAGCTGTTGCGTTTTCTCTGTCTGAAGAATGAAGTCCCTCTTTGTGAAGAGATGGGAGGCTCTTGGTAAGGGAGAAAAACAGAGGGCATAGGAGGAAGCCCTGCTGTTTTTCAGCTCCATGTTTCAGAGGGGTAATCTCCCCCAGGCTCTAAATCCCTAAAGCCACCAAAGATGGAGATAATTGCTCCTAGTGCTTGCTGGTGGCTGCCTAGTGATGAATCCAGCTACTGCACAATGCCTAAGATATATAAGTGGATCTATTCTGTACTCATAGGTGGCATTTCTTTTCAGTCAGCACATCACGCAAACCAGTATCCTTTTGTCCACTACTGAGCTCTGTATATGTGTCAGAGACTGCCCCAGAACTCAACTTTTCTATCAGTTTTCCCATTCACAATTCTCTGAAGAACAGGAAAAAGCATGCCCTTTATATAACACAGCTGCCTGCACACATGAGCTCAGTTAAAATCTGCTATTGTTTCCTTTCTGTGCTAAGTGATACTAAGTGTAGATGCTGCTAAGTGAGATTGAAAATCTTACTGGCCTGCTCCTTTAATTCAAGTATAACTCTGCCATATCCCAGATAATATATGTACTGTAAAGACCTGGCCGTCCAGTCAGGAGAATGGGGCAAGCCTATACAGGCAGAAGTTGTACATGTATACTGCACAGAAGATGCCTTTAGGAAAGGCAACTGTGCTAACCTTTCAACATTATCGTAGGTGTAACCTGGTTGGGTTTTGAATGGCGCTTGGCTTAGGTTACTTGGATTGAAATGATACTGTAAGTGTGTGTGGTGTAAGAGGGGTTACTATAGGGCATGACTGAGCCTTGTAGGTAGAGCTTTGGAGAGAAGAGAAAGGTTTGCACCACTCTCATCTGGAGCCTGCCCTCTGGCGTTGTTAATCCTTCATGCTTGAGAGCAGCAAATTCCATCATCCAACAAGGAAACTCAAGAAGAGGAGCTTAAGTTTCCTTCAAAATTCCATTTTAGAAAAATTTTGCAGGCAGGCATCCCACCGTAGAGCAAGTGGCCCCAGTTTCATAAGCATTCATTCAACAGCATCCATGCCAAGCACGTAATGTAACAGGCGCTCTTTTTCTCCTATACCACCGATGCTGGAATGGAATGAAACTCAAACATTTGCTGGTAAAGCTGACTTCTTATTAATACACCCTTCTGTTCTGTGAGAACAATCGGGCTGATTCACTCAACATTTTGTCTGTAACCTTTTAGAATTTAGCTACTTTTAATCCCCTGACTCTTTCTTGGAAAATACCTATAGGGAAGTAACATTTTATTATTCCAAGTACAATCATTTTCTTTCCAAGAATTGGTTTTTTTAAAATATATCTTGTTACAGTTTTAGAAGCAAAAAAAAAATGTGATGAAAAATTGATTGTGAGGGATATGGGGACATAATCACAGCTAAATCATAAATAGCATGATTGTTGTGTTACAAGAAAATACTTGTCTCCAGATTGCATATTAATATTTGTAGAGATATGACTGAGAAATCTATTCTTGCTTTCCCTCTTCTGTTCTTTTTACCTGAGTGATCCATCTGTTCACCTACTACTCCTAATGATTATTAATAACCCATTCTTGGCTTCCAATTTTTTTTTAACATAACATGTTTAGACACAAGTGATATTGTGTAATGGCTGCCAAAACTGAGCTCCCCTGAAGAATAGAGGCAGTGAAAAGGGTACAAGGCACTACTGGTGATGGAAAGCAAAGGGCAGGTACATTTTATGTACATAAAACACTTTGCAATTCTTTGTTCATTTATCCTTTCAGTAAGCCAGTAACATAGATTCTGCAGAGACTGTGATTTGCCCAAGCCCACCCAGTGAGCTTTGTGGTTGGAAAGAGATTACAATCTAGATTTCTCACATTAAAATTCAATATTGTGTCTACATAACCACATTGCTCTCTTCTTACCTCTTCAGATGAAACTTGTTCAAATTCAAAGCTACATGTCTATTTTAAGGACAATTAAATCTTGGTGGTTTGACATTCCTAGAAAAAATATGTTTCTACTCATTGGCAGTTAAGCACTTAATAGATGAACTGTTAGATCCTTACATGTCAACATTGGTCAGTTGACTTTTTAAAAATAGTTATTAGTTGTAATCAGTTACTTCATGTTTACAGTACAATAACAACTTTAAGAAGCTTATTGTACAGTACATTGTAGCCATTATATTTGTGTACATATTATTAGATTTCAAACCCAGGCAATACATTTGCCCTTATTTTATTAAGCCTGTATATTCAACAGACAAATTAAAAGATATAAATCATAAAGTAAGTGGGTGATTTATTTTCAAAGGCATATGTGTACATTCTGTTTTCAAATATCCCAGCCTTTGTCTGTTAAGCATTACCACCAATACTTTTCTCACTTTCTGAGTGTACCCATATAACCTTCTACTTTTAAGAATACAAATACTGTACTCCTCATTACAATGATGAAGGTTGTGCACTTTCTTCCAGTCCAAGAATGCAAATTTGTATTGAACGAAAAGGGATGTTAAACCTAGAATGTCAAAGACATCAGATTTGAGAAATTGCAGTGACATGCAGCCCATTCAATTCTGTCTTAACAAAAACAAAAAAAAACCCTCACAAACCAACAATTATCTAGGCAAAATATATACCAAAACCATATTACAGAAGGTGGATACAGAAAGTCATGCAGAAGGGCGAATTGTGGTCAAAACAGCTTTTATTCTATTTTTGTTTAAATAAAGTGATATGTAAAGCTGTGTTTTAGCAGGAATGTAAAACCTTCAACCTTAATCTAGCTACAAAGCCTTGAACACCCCCTCCCCGTTTCAAAGTCCCCCTTCTTTTGATCACAAGTAGTCAATCAAAGCTGCGTCTACTGTTTCCTCTTTAAAGAGAGAAGACTGATGCAGCCCAAGTAGAGTTGAGCTATGTCAAGAGGGGTAGATATTTGATATCTCGGCCTGTTGTAGCTTTGGGAATGATTGATGTGGCTTGCTTGATCACAGAAAATTCTTCTGTTCTTTGGTGGTGTTTAGAAAAAGTTTATAATTCATATATGGACACTCATGAGTGTGATATACCGTTTAAGAATGTAAGGAGCTCCAGATTCCTACTGTTTCATTCTTGCTTACTCTGTCTAATTTTGTGATTCTCCACCTCTGAGTGAATCTTATGGGGAATTTCTTGAATGCAACATGTTTTTGTCTATGTTTATGACTTAGCTCTAAATATACTTTTGGAGAAAAGAGCAAGGTTAGTTTAAGCGTCAATATCTCAGTATCTTTTGCCTGTGGGGAAAAAAATACACCATGTACATTAGGCAACATTAGCCTCAGCACTTTTCTTACCATTTTACAATGTGCCACTGCCATTTTTTTTCCTTTCGTTGTGGGAGTGTTTTTGGTGTGTGCTTCAGCTTTTAGAATTCAATTGAGTTAGCTATTTTAAGCTTACTTCTTTTTGACAAGTTTTCTCTCCACCCACTTCTATGTCTCTTTGCGTCCCAGAGGCATTGTTAAGTTGAGGAACACTTTGAAGATGAAAATCATGAGCTGGATGCCAAGCATTAGTTATTACATTAGGCCTCAAGGGCTAAAAACATTGACATTAAAGAGATGTGTTTAATCATAAGGATTTCTTTTCCAGTAGAGGACGATCCTTGTAACTTTCCCCCATCCTTACACAAACGCCAATGTTATATAAATCTGTTTCATTTTATTCATATAGGAATTTAGCCATTGGGATTGGCATTCAGAATTTTCCAGAAGGGCTGGCTGTCAGCCTTCCCTTGCATGGGGCTGGATTTTCACCATGGAGAGCCTTCTGGTAAGCAAGTCAAATTGTTACTCCAGTGTTTCTTTGTGTTCTCTTCACTGTTATCTGCTTTATATAGTTAGGACTAAAGTGCATCAAAATGGCTTTGAGTCATACTATCGCTCTAATGCAAGGGAAACACTATTTGGTAGTTCTCAAAGTTTTTATTCAGTGAGACAATTTTGTGGTCTCCGAAGAGTCTCGTGTGCAAAAGAATTTTTTCATAGCATTTGCTGCCCACAAATGAAATAAACTGCTGGGTCACACTAGGCTTTACTTTTTACTGCCAACTCAGGAAATATTTGTGATAAAGTCAGAGAATTGGGCACACTCCAAATGTACCAATCAGCATGGTCAGTACCAATGAATTGTGGGAATTATAGCTCAAAATATACTCAGTTTTCAACACTGATTATAATGCCCACATTCTGATACTTCGATGTATCAACCTCTGAGAGCTCATGTGAGGAGCTTCCTCCAAAAAAAACCCCTCGATGCCTCCCTACACTTTATGCACATCCTGTAATGCGGCTTTATTTCTCCCTGGTTGGTCTGTTATATTAATTTCCTAATGTTTGCCCCCTTCCAGTTTTAATCTAAGAGCATTGGTTTGAAATTTTGATTTTTTAAAAATCCATAAATACACTTGAATTGTAATAACTGCAGCAACCACACATTCTCCAAAGCCCTCAAATTGCTCTCCCATATACTTGCTAACACATCTGTATGCTATCCTAGTCAGGAACCTTCTGGTGAAGAGAAGGGGTTCAATGACACCAGTTGAATTCCCTCTAGATGTGTTAGGCCAATTGTATAAGAATATGCAGTGAAGATGAAGGTCCTCACTGGGTCTTTTAGATCTCCTAAGTGACGTGGAGTCTATAACCTCCTGAAAGTTTTGTAGAGAAACATAGTGGACCAGGTGAATTAGGAATATTACACACGAGGCAGGAGAGAGAGAGAGAGGGAGGGAGGGAGGGAGGGAGGGGGGGAGAGAGAGAGAGAGAGAGAGAGAGAGAGAGAGAGAGAGAGAGAGAGGGGCTACCTGATCTTCTCACTTTTCCTCCAGAACTTTTGGTCACCTCTAAAGGAGGGGTGATCTCGTAGGTGTTTGCTCAAGAATGACTTGGAGAAGCTTCTCTATTTTTCAATGACCCCAGAGAAAAACTTGGCAGAGGGAATGGAAGGAGCTGATCTTATATTGACTCTGAGTTCTCCAAAGGGTGGCAGTTGAGGGGGAAACAATTGCATGGAGAAGGAAATAGATCCTCTTTCTCTTGACTGACATTTTGCTCTGCTCGCTTTACAGGTACGGTCAGTTAAGTGGCATGGTGGAGCCCCTAGCTGGCATCTTTGGTGCTTTTGCCATAGCGCTAGCCTCTCCCCTCCTCCCATATGCTTTGGCTTTTGCTGCTGGAGCAATGGTGTATGTAGTGATGGATGACATCATTCCAGAAGCACAGATCTGGTGAGAACCTGGTTCATTTGCATCTGATCAACTTTAAAATCCTAGAAATAAAATGCAATCTAATCCACTTAATTGAATGATTTTTTTTTCTTAGTTTAGTAATTAGTATGTAGTAAAAATCAGTAATTAGTAATAATCAACTCGATAATTTGTAATAATGGGTACTACTAATTAGTAACTGATAATTATCTGTTTAGTAATAATCTATTTAATAATTAGTGACAGTACTACTAAACAGTAATTAGTAATCTACTTAGTAATAATTACCTCTTTGGCCCTGTATTGTTGACCCTCTACATCATCATAAGTCTCCAAACTTGGCAACTTTAAGACTTTGACTTCAACTCCCAGAATTCCTCAGCCAGCTGGCTAAGGAATTCTGGGAGTTGAAGTCCACAAGTGTTACAGTTGCCAAGTTTGGGGACCCCTGCTCTACATTTATATCCAGAATACATTATTGAAGCAACTAGGAGCTGCAATTAACTGAAAAATCACAACATTCATTAGTTTGAGGATCAACTTCATCAGACTGGACCCAACTAAAAAAAAATAAAAAATTACATTCTACTTTATTTTGGAAGGACACACAATTGTTTGTTTTCTGCAGTGAAGGGAAACAACCAGAGCCTTTGTTACCAGTGTATCACAGTCAGATGGGTCACAAATGGGCCAAATGGCTTTCTTATGATTTGTCTAAGTTTTCTCATTGAGCACAGACCACTCCGAGTAGCAATCTCTTTACCAGCTGTCAAAGCAGAACGTTTATATAACATCTACAGTACTGCAACTTCCACATCTCTCCAACACTGCAGGGTCCTTCCATATTTAAAAGGACTGTTCTGTCTTCAATTCTTGATCTTACCCAATAAAGAAAAGTGGTTGCTTATGTATAACTTTCTAAACGGCCATTTGACTTCAAAAAAATCCACCTAACCTCCACATTGCGGTCTGAGGATATTTGATAATTTTCTGAACTGACAGTTTAAACATGTCAGGTAAAGCTCCTGCTAGAAAATCATAGGCTTTGGAGTACTATATCAAACGTAGGCTGTGCAAGTGTAGAACCCGGTAGTTTAATTTTAGAGATAACTGTGAACCTAGTCATGTCACAGGTAGCAATGTCTATGTTCAGTTTTGTATTTATTCTGGTAGAATGGCTGAATAGTAACACAAAATTGATACTGAGTATTATGATATCAGTACTCCAATATCAACAAATACTGTATTCCAGAATCATTTCATGGAGGCAAGGAAAATGTGTGTGTTCTGTCTTGAATCAAGGTAGACATGAAGTATCCAAGCAGGAAACAGTAATTTGTTACTCCAGCCAAGCCCAAAAATTAATATATGTCTGTATGGTAGATATACTGTGGTGAAACATACGAAACGCACAGGTGTTCTGAAAACTTTGAGAGATAAATATTTAAGAATCAATTTACTTCTTGCAGTATGAACAGCTTGCCTTACATGGAAGGAAAGGTAGAGAAGCTTTTGAAGTTAGTTGAGCACTTTTGGAAATCTTTCAGTTTCAAGAGGAAGATTTTTTTAAAAGTCTTATAAATTCTAAAAATGTCATTCTTAGCAAAAAAAGCATGATTGCCTTTTCTTTTTTTCTTTTTAGTGGCAATGGAAAGCTGGCTTCCTGGACAGCCATCTTAGGATTTGTGGTTATGATGTCCCTGGATGTAGGACTTGGATAATAAGAAATAATGACTTTTCTCAAACTGACCTTCAAAATGCATTAAAACAGGAGATATTGCACAGTAGAAATTGCAACTGGACTATTGTATTTTACATTATTGTGCAGAAAACTGAGCTGGTATTGATTTAATGATACTGATTCTTAAAACTTGTCATAATATATATGGGGTTGATCTTGGGAAGCAGGTTTCTTTGTGCATTTGTCCTTTTGCCCCTAATTAGTTCTGTTTCTTCAAGGCTGTTGGTTATGAAGCGTAATCATGAGTTTTCAAGAATTTTTTTAAAAAAATTCTTCACTTTGTTGAGGCAGGTTTCTGAAAATGTCACTGTCCAGTGTGATCTCTGATTGATGGACTTTGCTGTATGTATTGTATTGTATTGTATTGTATGGAACAGAGTGGGACAGCCTCAGAGATCTTCAAGGCTTCTATTGACACACGATGACTAACAACACAGTTGTGTTGAGTTTTTTCTTCAGGGATTTGGAAATATTTACTTTTATAAGTTGCTGAAATAAATAGTATCTTTTTTTAAAAAAATAACCAAGAACATAGGTAAGATTTTAAGAGATTTACT